CAGCAGCAGCAGCAGCAGCAGCAGCAGCAAGTTTGAGAAGCAGCCAGAGCAGCTGCTGCAGCACAAGCAGCAGCAGGGCCCGCGCCGCCGCCGCAGCAGCAGCAGAAGCAGCAGCAGGAGCAGCTGCAGCAGCTACAGATCGAGGAACACCAGAGGCTGCAGGGAAGGCAGCAGCAATAAGAGGCACTCACCTCGCGGCAGCAGCAGCCACAGCAGCAGCAGCCACAGCAGCAGCAGCCACAGCAGCAGCAGCCACAGCGGCAGCAGCCACAGCAGCAGCAGCCACAGCAGCAGCAGCCACAGCAGCAGCAGCCACAGCAGCAGCAGCCACAGCGCCAGCCACAGGGACAATGGCAGCAACAGGCGCAGCAGCAGCAGCAGCAGCAGCAGCAGCAGCAGCAATGCGCCCCCTTACACTTATGCCGACCGCCGCCTCCGCGGAGAGGCAGCCAGCCAGCGCAGCATGGCCCCTGCAGACGCAGCAGCAGCAGCAGCAGCAGCAGCAGCAGCAGCAGCAGGACGCGGTGTGTGTGTGTCTGGTAGGACGAGCAGCAGCGGCCGGCGGCGCCGCAGCCGCAGCAACAGCAGCAGCAGCAAGTGCAGCAGGAGAAGCAGCAGAGAGCTGCCAGCTGGCCACAAGACGAAGTCCCGGCGAGGTGGCAGCAGCAGGAGCAGCAGCAGGAGCAGCAGCAGGAGCAGCAGCAGCAGACGCCACCGGTCAGCAGCAGCAGCAGCAAGGAGAGACAGACACCGCCACACCCCCAGGAGGCAGGCCGCCCGCAGCAGCAGCAGCAGCAGCCGCAGCAGCAGCAGCCGCCGCAGCAGCAGGATGAGCCGCAGGCACAAGCAGCACGGCAGCAGAAGCAAGAAGGCGGACAGCAGCAGGAGCAGCAGCAGCAGCAGCAGCAGCAGCAGCAGCAGCAGCAGCACTCGAGGCCTGCAGCGGGACAGATACAGAGATGAGTGGGAGAGGGGCCGCCGCCGCGGCAGCAGCAGCCGCAGCAGCAGCAGCAGCAGCAGCAGCAGCAAGGGCCAAGGCAGCGTCAGCGACATCAGCAGCAACAGCAGCAACTCTCCCCCTTTGTCTCCTTCAGTTGCTTTCCCCAGCCGCAGCTACCAGCACTCGAAGCGGCGGTTTGCTGCTGCTGCTGCTGCTGCTGCTGCTGCTCCAGCAGCAGCAGCAGCAGCAGCAGGCTGGGCCGACGCAGCAGCCTACCCGCCCTACGCCGACAGCTACAGCAGCAGCAGCAGCCACAGGGGGGCCCCCCGAAGGGGGCCCCCCCACGGGGGCCCCCGGCTGCAGTACCCTCCAGAGGGCCCCCGGGGGCCCCCCAGCCACAGGGGGGGGCCCCCCAGCCACAGGGGGGGGCCCCCCAGTACCCTCGAGGGGGGGCCCCCCCAGCACTGTACCCCTAGGGGGCCCCCCCCCCCTTTGCCTCGGGGGCCCCCCCATTCGCAGCCCCGGGGGGCCCCCCGGGGGCCCCCCAGTTATAAATAAATTAAAAGTTTGGATTGGAATTAAAGTTTTAATTAAAGTTCAAAACAAAACTCAGCGCAGTGCAGACCTCGAGCTGTCTTTTGTCGCTCTTTTAGGGTTTAGGGTTTAGGGTTTAGGGTTTAGGGTTTACTACATTTGTTTTCTCTTTTTTATTTTTTATTTTTTCTTTTCCTGCTTCTCTCTTTACTGGCTCCTTCGAATTTATCTTTTTATTATTTCTTTTATCTTTTATTTTATTTTATTTTTTTTTAATTTTATTTTCTTTTTTTGTTTATTTTCTTTTTTGTCTTTTTCGCTTTTGTCTCTCTTTGGGGTCTCAAATAAAAGCTTCTTCGAATTAAAGAAATAAAAACTAAAGACAAAAATAAAAATAAAAACAAAAATAAATAAACTTCAAATTAAAAATGAAAAATAAATAAATGAACAAAGCAGGTTCGAAAAAGCTGAGGTGTCTGTACACCGCGAGGCCAGGGCAGGCCCCCAACCCTGAACAAACTCCCGGCCCCAAACCCCAAACCCTAAACCCTAAACCCTAAACCCTAAACCCTAGAGGCAGCTGAACTCCTCTGCGGGTTTTGGCTGTCGAAGGAGGCGTAGACCACCTCCAGGGTCTTTCTTTGAGGGTTTAGGGTTTAGGGTTTCTAGGGTTTAGGGTTTAGGGTTTAGGGGAGGCCTTGATCAGCGAGGGTTTGGAGTTTTTGTGTGGCGGTTTGGGGCTTTCCCGGGGCCCGGGTTTGCGTTGGGGCTTGCGCGCAGGGCTAGGGTTTAGGGTTTAGGGTTTAGGGTTTAGGGTTTAGGGTTTGGGGAGGGCCTGCAGGACTTTGTCGACGAGGGTTTGGAGTTTTTGTTTGGCGGTTTGGGGGTTTTCGTGGCTTCGGATTTCCGCGTAGTACTTGAGCTTGGGCTCAGTGCCGCTGGGCCGAAAAGAAATGGAAATTCCATTTAAAAAAACAAAAGTGAGAAGACTGGGAAGTGGCGAGGGTTTGTCGCGGGGTTTTGGGGTGTCTGTACACCTCGGCGCCGTCGCTGGGGTGTCTGTACACCTCGGGGCGGTCGCTGGGGTGTCTGTACACCCCGGGGTGTCTGTACACCCCGGCGCTGCAGCCAGGGGCTCTCCCGCGAGTTCTGCTGCTCCGCTTTTTTGCTGCTGCAGCAGCCACTGCAGCACTTGCTGCTGCTGCTGCTGCTGCATGCTGCAGTAGCCGTTGCAGGTGTAGAAGCCGCCGTACTGCTGCCGCAGCGCGGCGAGGCAGCAGCTGAGGCTGCTGCCGCGCGCGCGCAGCTGCTGCGCTGCTGCTGCTGCTGCTGCAGCAGCAGCAACTCCGTCTTTGTCTCGAACTAAACCACTCACTCCATAACCCAAAGCTTCTTCATAAACCAAAACTGAAGTAACTCCTTTTGCTGCTTCCACTTCCATGGCTTTGTTCTCCAGCCACTTGAACCCCGTCTCCGCTTCCGCGTACACGCACCCGTTCGCCTGCAGCAGCAGCAGCAGCAGCAGCAGCAGCAGCAGCAGCAGCAGCAGCAGCAGGAAACGCAGCAGCAGCAGCAGCAGCAAAGGCAGAGGCTTCGTGGGTGTTTTTTGCTGCTGCGTCGCTGAAGGCGCTCTCAGGCCGCTTCCTTTGTGCAAAGAAAGCTGCTTCTGCTGCTGCTGCTGCTGCTGCTGCTGCTGCTGCTGCTGCTCGAAATGCTACTGCTGCTGTTGCTGCTGCTCCTAGAAATGCTACTGCTGCTGCTACCGCTAGAAACGCTGCAGCTGCTACTGCTGCTGCTACAACTGAAACCCTGCTGCTGCTGCTGCTGCTGCACCTAGAAACACCGCTGCTGCTGCTGCTGCTGCTGCTGCTGCTGCTGCTGCTCACCTCCGCCATGGCCTTGAGCATCTTGGAAGAAACAACAGAAGCAACAAAAAGTTGTTTTTCTTTTTTTATGTTTTGGGCCGAACGCAAATCCATCAAATAGGCGGCCAGCAGCACCCCCAGTTCGTCCCCAGTGAACTGGTACCACTTCCCGCTGCAGCCCAAACCCTAAACCCTAAACCCTAAACCCTAAACCCTAAACCCTAAACCCTAGGCCCTAGGCCCTAGACCCTGGACCCTGGACCCTAGAGCTGGAAGAGGGGGGTGTGAGTTCGCCTGCGGGTTGTTGGCTGGGGCTGCGGGGCGCGCGCAGGTTTAGGGTTTAGGGTTTAGGGTTTAGGGTTTAGGGTTTAGGGTTTAGGGTTTGCGGACTCGACTTTTTCGGCGACGGCGAGTCTGTCTGCGTCGGGGTCGTTGGCGAGAATGAGAGTGGCGTTTTCTTTTTCTGCTTTTTCAATTGCAAGTTTTAAAGCTCCAGACTCTTCAGGATTTGGAAATGGCACACTCCAGAAGTCCGGGTCGCCGTCGCACTGCTGCTCCACTGCAGCAGCAGCAGCAGCAGCAGCAGCAGCAGCAGCAGCAGCAGCGGGGGCGCGTGGGCAGCGGCGGCGCAGCAGCAGCAGCAGCAGCAGCGGGGGCGGCTGGGCAGCGGCGGCGCAGCAGCAGCAGCAGCGACGCCAGGTGAAGGGCGGCGGAAATGGCCGCAGCAGCAGCAGCAGCAGCAGCAGCAGCAGGTGGGCAGCAGCGGCAACAACTGCAGCAGCAGCAGCAATGGCAGATGAGCAGCAGCGGCAGCAACTGCAGCAGCAGCAGGTGAGCAGCAGCGGCAACAACTGCAGCAGTAGCAGCAATGGCAGGTGAGCAGCAGCGGCGGCAACTGCAGCAGCAGCAGCAGCAGCAGCAGGTGAGCAGCAGCGGCAGCAGCTGCAGAAGCAGCGGCAGCAGCAACAGCAGGTGAGCTGCAGCGGGAACGGCCGCAGCAGCAGCAGCAATGGAGGTGAGCAGCAGCAGCAGCAGAAGAGCAGCAACAGCAGCAACTGCAGCAGCAAATTTCTTTCAGGGGTCACTCGCAAGGAAGTAAAACAAAATAAATAAATTTAAAAACAAAACAAGTAAATCAAAACAAAAAATCGAACTAAATAATAAAAAGTCAAACAATAAATAAATTAAATTAATTAAAATAATAAAATAAAATAAATAAATAAAATAAATGAAGTAAATAAATGCCAAACAACTTATCAAACAAATAAAAAGCCAATCAAACTTCAATCAGCGAAAACAAATAAATAAATAAATATAAATAAATAAATAAATAAATTTTAAATGCTACAAGTAAATACCAAATTACAAAAAAATAACACATGAATGGTAAATAATATATAAATAACAAATAATAAGTAGTAAATGAATAATAAAAAAACAGTGAATGAATAGTAAATAAATAAATAATGAATAATAAATAAGAAATAATAAATAATAAATAGTAAACGATGAATAATAAATAAGAGGTAATAATAAATAATGAATAATAAATAATAAATACTGAATAATAAATAATAAATAGTGAATAATGAATAATAAATAATAAATAATAAATAGTAAATAGTAAATAATAAATAATAAATAATAATAAATAATAACTA